ACCTTGATATCAGAAATTCATAAGGATGAGAAAAAAACCTGAAGTCCAAACTGTCCTAGAACATAGGTGCAAATTCTTCATATAAAATATTAACAAATCAAAATCATTAATATTGAGTAGAATATTATATCACAAGTACAAATATCCCAATCCAAAAAAACCCCAAGAGTTAAACAGGTAATAAAATATATAAATAAAATTATATATTTTTAAAAATTAATACGTAGCTTTGGTGAAATTTTAGGAAAATAGAAACTCACAAATAAGTATCAAGCTTGTAATTGGTGTAAATATTTGGAGAGTAATGGGGAAATATTTACCAATAAAGGTCTTAAAATATGCATGTAATTTATCTTACATATCTAGTGCTTTTCATTTTTCATGAGGAAAATTATGTAACTTTTACACATAAAATAGAACTTCTTAAGCTCCAATCTCTTCATTGATTAAGGGAATATCAAACACCATGAAACCATTTTATGGCTTTCAGTTTTAACTCACAATAAAAGGAATGATTATATACTGTCTCCCAGTGATTTTTAGGATTAAGTTGATTTTCTTGCATTAATAAACTAGAAAAACATGAACTTGAAGAATTGACTTTTGGATTGAAAAAAAAAAAACTCACAAAATTTAAAATGTAATAGTAATGGTAAAATCCTAATGAGGAAAGAGAGAGACCCTCTCATATTGTTTTATATTGTTTTTATACTCAGTACCTGTTTTAAGAAAAAAAAAAGGAAGTAAAACCAAAGACAGACAGCATGGTGCCAGGCCCAAAACCAGGCCTGGGCCTGCCTGGCCTAAACCCAGTAGTTAAAAATCAACTGATAACTCAGAAACCGATGTTATTCATAGATTCCAGACATTGTACAGAAGAACACTGTGAAATTCCCCACCCTGTTCTGTTTCTCTCTGACCACTGGTGCATGCAGCCCCTGTCACGTACCCCCTGCTTGCTCAAATCAATCACGACGCTTTCATGTGAAATCTTTAGTGCTGTGAGCCCTTAAAAGGGACAGAAATTGTGCACTCGCGGAGCTCGGATTTTAAGGCAGTAGCTTGCCGATGCTCCCAGCTGAATAAAGCCCTTCCTTCTACAACTCGGTGTCTGAGGGGTTTTGTCTGCCGCTCGTCCTGCTACATTTCTGTTAATCCTTAATACTTCTAATTACTAAACTAGGAAGGAATATAATTAAAAACAAAATCTTCCACCCCAAAAATACTCACTGCACAAAGAAAAAAAAATTGTCTTATTAAATAAATATTAAACCAGAATTTGATTTGCATCATAGGTAGTTCAAAAAGAGAGTGTAAAGACAGGAAGAAATATCAACCTTTTATACAGCTAAACAAAACTCATATTACATACATATTCTCATGATAAATGCTGGATTTAACAGCATATTTTGTCACACAAAGTTCATCCTAGATTCCCCAGGTAACTGGAGTAGTCACCTTTCTGTGGAAGCTAAAATTGGCTTTATCAAAAGAAAAAATAAACTTCCTGTATTTTTAAAACAGAAGGTAGCTTTGTAACTTGGATTCAGGTGCCCATAGAAGTTAGTCTCCTACAGAAACTGGGAAACAGGGACTGTGTCTTTCTTGATAATTATTCTTAAAGAAAAAGCATTCAGGTCCTTGACAAGGCATTCCTGGGGTGTAAAACAGGAAAGAGGCTGTTCTACAAATTTACAATTCAAATGGGCAGAGAAAGAACTTGCAGTTACAGCTTTCTGAAGAAAATATTCTAAGAGGCAGTGGAGGAGTATTTCACTGTTTGTACTGGGGAATTTAATTTTTTTAATTTGTATTTATTTTTACACTAGCTGGTTATTAGCACTAAGGAAGGTCTGAAAAATATTGGTTTGTATTAGCAATCTTTCCCAATTAATTTATCTCTGCAAGTTATCTCTTGATGTGATACTAACTTTATACCACCTTAACTCAAATTGAAAATAAAACAGAAGTTTAATACATCATTTAATATCTATGATCTCGTGTGGATGATTACCAACTTCTCTAAGGTATTTCTAATTTTAAAAGCTCTAATTGCTATTTCCTATCTAACTATCTTCATTTTCAGAAGAGCAAAGACTAACTTTAGAAACACTGATTTCCAAAATATTGAGAATCATATGTGCAGTAGGGAAACCTTTAATTGACTCAAAAACAGGAAAAAAAAAAAAAAAGTCAGGAATCAAGTTAACTTGGAAGTTAATGATGCCATATAAGCAAAATGAAAGTGAGCTTTCCTGGACACAAGATCACACCTTAAACATCCCGTGGATAAAGTTTCCTTTCTGCAGGGCAGTGCTCAGCAACACGGAGTCCAGAGCAGACTCAAGTTCTTAAACATCTCAACTTCTGCTTTAATTATTATCATAAAGACTTAGGTATGTTCAGATGTCAGGAAATAAAAATAAATTTGTTAAAATATTCTCCAGAGTATATAACGGGTACTATTTATTATTTCATAACCATAAACTTCCTAGACATTTTGTTTTAGGTTCACAAAAAAACTTGCAAAGTGGGTATTAATACACTCATTTCATAGATGACAGTGTGAAAGTGTCCAATTAGGCAGCAATCATTGAAAATGTGTGGAGAAAACACATGGGTGCACGGTTATTTTTTTTGCAGCATTATTTCCAAAAGCAGAAGATAGAAAATCAAGATCTGCATACACAGAGGATACCCATCTAAGGAGGTATTATGCTCCTCTAGAGAAGAATGAGGAAGGTTTCCACACTTCAATGAAACCATCTCCAAAATTGCTCAGTGAAAAAAGAATCCAGATGAGTGTTATAATTTTTGTAAACAAGGGAAAATTACATATATATATTAAGTATATGTGTAATCATATACCATATAATATGAATTATATATGTAAACTTGTTACTGCATGCATAAGACATCTGATTGTTAGTAGCCTTCAGGAAAGGAATTTTGTGGATGGGAACTAATACTGGAAGGAAGACTTTTAGTCTTGGAAGTCTTGAACCATGTGAAAGTATTCATTCAAAAAAGTAAATAAAATTTAAAACAAAAATCTAATTTACATGTTTTTCACACATAAGCCTTTTTTTTTTTACATGTCATCTAGTGCCTCAAACATTTCAGAAAAAAACACAAAAGGGATTATTGCGGACGATCTGTCAGAGTGGCAGAAGAAATTATAGGACTAGAAAGGAGCAAACCTTCCTGGAAGGCCGGGGTGGGGGTTTGCATAGCGTCAGATAGTTTGGCTGAAGGCAACCAGAGTCTCTTTTCAGAAGCCAAAGAGCTTAGGGTGCGGATACAAAGGAATGTAGAGTAGTTTATCTAAATAGCTTGTTTAACTCATGTGGTCCTAAAATCAACCTTTGATCATTTGTGGGCAGGATGGCTCTATCTGTGGCAGGGCAACCAGGTTAATTATCCACAGGTGTGTTGACTCAAAGACTTTGTTAATTAAATCTGTACTAAATAAATGTGACCATTGCCAGCTTGGAGGGACAGCAAACTCTCTTTGGCCCCTAGTGCCAGCAGCCCCCTGGCCCACTCTTTCACTCAGTATTGGTGTCTGAGTACATGTGTCATCCGTCGTGCAACTGGGGTCTGCAGGACAGACCCCCGCACATTATAAATAATAACGTATCTAAATGAATACATTCTTTCAAGTTTCCAACCATCCCCATCAGTCTAAAGCAGTGCATACAAAATATTATCATGGAGCCAGGCATGGTGGCTCACAACTTTAATCCCAGCACTTTGGGAGGCCAAGGCGGGTGGATCAACTGAGGTCAGGAGTTTGAAACCAGCCTGGCCAACATGACGAAACCCTATCTCTACTAAAAATACAAAATTAGCTGGGCGTGGTGGTGCATGCATGTAATCCTAGCTACTTGGGAGGCCAAGGCAAGAGAATCACTCGTACTTGGGAAGTGGAGGTTGAAGTGAGTAGAAAGCATGCCATTGCACTCTAGCCTGGGCAACAAGAGTGAAACCATGTCTCAAAAAAAAAAAGAAAAATAAAATAAAAAAAAAGATCATGGATTTCATTCTAGGAATACCAAAAATGTGTGTTATTTTTCAGGCATGTTATTGAAGTGACCAACACAAGCATCAATCTTTGACTAGCAAATGCATAATTAGCTTTAATTCATCAGGGAAAGGTGCCATCTCCTAAATAGCACAATTCGTTCCTCAAAAAGAAACCATGCATTTTTCTCTCTGTGTTCAATCTATTAGCCTCGATGTTATCTAATGGCAATTCGGAAACATGTTAGGAAGATGCTATTATTTAAACTCGGCCTTCCCAAAAGGTATATATTTTTTGTTGTTATTCATACCTAAAAAGAAAAAAAGAAACTAAATAAAATCAAAGTAAAATTTTCTTAGCAGAGTGGTTAATTGCATTTTTCTTTCCCTGGAGTCAATATGGATGATGGCTAAACTGGCTGCTAACAAAAATTTTATATCAGAGAAACACCTGGCATTTGAAGTTGACGTATAGGTATTCATGACATTGCATACGCAGTGGAAACAATCAGCTCATGATTCTGCAGGAGAAGCAGGTGACAGGTGAGCACCCTCCAACCCATCATCCAGGGATGCTGCCAGATGGATTCTACAGGTGGAACAATTAATTACAGACATAATTTAGGAATACTTTAAAACACATTATAAGAAACAAGAGTTTTTATCTACATCAGATTCACCTAACATGAAATGATCACAATTTATGTCTAGCTTTTTACAGTTAAAGAAGAAAAATAAAGGGAAAATTTTCTTTTCTTTTTTTTTTTTTAGTTTATGTAAAAATTTATTTGACCAAAATGTGGAAAAAGTGATACTATTACATATGACACAGTTGCAAGAATCTAAAGAAAAGTGTGGATTTGATTCCATTGCACAATTTGCTAGTGTATTTCCTGGGTAGTGTGGTGCTGAACAAATAGGAGTAGGGTGGTAGGGTGGGTAAGGGATTCAGATAAGCCAGACGCAGGGTGATTTTCAGTCGGAATTGTAAACTTTACTCGGCCCCCACACGCTGCTGGGGAATGTGGAATGTTCCAGCTCTGAGACATTAACTGAGAAAAGAGAAGTCAAACAAAGCCGATACGTGCAGCCCTGTCTACAGAATCCTTCATTATCCAGTTTAATCAGGAGTTTCTTGGTGTTTTATTAACTTGGTCCCAAAGAAGGAATTCAAGTCCTAGATAAGTAAATCTTCAATTTGCTATTCCCTGAAGTATGGAAATGAAGTTGGGCCCATTTTTAATCTCTGCTGCCAGACAGGCCCTTTCTGCTAATAGATAGAAATGCTTTTGCTCAACTTATGAATGACTCGTAGTCTTTCAGATATGGCTGACCTGAATTGGACTGAACTCCACCATATTCCGGCTGAGTGGGTCATTACTAGAATGAGACATTTGCTTTTCAGAGAACTTTTTAATTTTATTTTTTTCTTGAGATGGAGTCTCACTCTGTTGACCAGACTGGAGTGCAGTGGTGCAATCTCGGCTCACTGCAACCTCCTCTTCCTGAGTTCAAGTGATCCTCCTGCCTCAGCCTCCTGAGTAGATGAGACTACAGGCAGGTGTCACCATAATTTTTGTATTTTTAGTACAGACAGGGTTTTGCCATGTTGGCTGTGCTAGTCTCGAACTCCTGACCTCAAGTGATCTGGCCTCCAAAAGTGTTGGGATTACAGGTGAAAGCCACTGTGCCTGGCCAGAGAACAACTTTAGAATGAAGGAAATACTCAAAAGAACATCACATCGTGGATCTATTAATTACCAGCTATTAACTACTATATGTGGGTAATTATGACTATTACTGAAGCATTCTACCTTGACTGCTTGAAAGGATGTTTGTTCTGCATGGTGGAGTGTGGAGAAGGGCCAGGATTCTTAGTTTAATCTATCTGTGGGTTATGACTTCCCACAGTAGCCATCCTGGCCCCCACCAGCTCTTTTATTGGCTTCAGATAGAAAATCCCTACCCATGTGATGGTCCCTATAGTTTGACCAACAGTTGACCCAAAAGGTTATGGTCTTTAACATTTTAATTATATCCACGACTAGATATTGGGGTCTGTGTTCTTCAAAGTGTGGGGCTGCCTATTCTCCCAGGAACCAAATGGCCTCTGTCTTAAGAAAATATGCTTACTAGGAAATACCCTACCTACCTTAGGAATAAATGCAACTCAAGGAAGAAATAAGAGCTGAAAAAGCTGGTGCCATTTGGAAAAAAAAAGGGAAGGAATGAGATTTAACTGGTGCTCAAAGCTTCTCCGATACAAAATATTTGGTCATGTATTCATAATTTGCTTGACATTTCCAGCAAAGCGAAGATGGCAATAACAAAAGCAACTTCATACAAGAGAAAAGAAAGACCCACGGAGCTCCGCAGTTTCTGTTGCAACAAGACTCTTCTGTTTTGCTTATATACAGTTAAGTTCGTTTAGTGTCTGATCCAGTGTCTGATGTAAGCCCACGTTCTCTTCTTTGGCCTGGGCAAGTTTCTCTTCCAGGTCATCAATTGTCTTTTCCAGTTTTGCAACCGTTCTGTCTGCAAATTCAGCACGGGTCTCAGCCTCTTTCAGTTTGTCAGACAGAAGTTTCATTTGTTCTTCATATTTGTCCTCCTTTTCAGAATACTCTTCAGACGCAGCCTCCAGAGATTTCAGATTGGTAGTAACATTCTTGAGTGCTTCTTCCAGGTCACCACATTTTAGTTCAGACACCTCCGCACGCTCCTCTGCCCTCTCCAGCTCACCCTCCAGGATGACCAGCTTAGGAGCTACCTCCTCGTGTCTGCGGTCAGCCTCTTCCGCAGTGTGCTCGGCCTCCTTGAGCTGCATCTCCTGAATTTCCATCTTCTCCTCATCCTTCATGGCCTGGTTTTCTATCACCTTCCTTCCTCTCTCACTCTCATCTGCAGCCTTTTCCGCCTCCTCCAGCTTCTGCAGGGCCGTGGCCAGTCGTTCCTGAGCCCTGTCCAACTCCTCCTCAACGAGCTGGGTGCGTCGGTTGAGGGCGGCCCCATCACCTTCAGCTTTCTCGCGCCGCTCGCGCTCTTGGTCCAGGTCCAGCCCCCGCTGCAGGCCCTGCGCTCGGTGTTCCGCCTCGTCCGCCTGCTGCTGCGGGGCCTGGGTCTTGCGTTTCTCAGCTGGACTCGGCTCCGGCCATAAAGGGAAATTTCTTATCCCTCTGAGCGGTATGCTTTCAACACCCCTTTTCCATTTGTGTGTGTACGTGGTGTAGAAAGAAATGATTTGTGATGATCTGTGATGCTTTTCATACACTGATGTAATATATAAAAGGAAACAAAATGTGTGATATAAGGGAAAATGTCAGAAGTTTTAGATGCAGGGTAGATATAGTTAAGGTTTTTGCCATTTGCTAGTTAATTATCTTTTGAAAAAGTAGAATGGTATGATATTTTAAAGATTTTACAACTAAATCTTTAAAATTTTCATTTTAAATCAGAAGCCAACATGGGCTCCCACCAAAGGATCCATGGTGTGCTTTGACTGAGACATGTATACTACCAAAAAATTAAAAAAAATAAAAATGTCTAAACTCAGCTGCCCGTCTCTCTAAGGAGAAATCTAAAGCCCGAGTTGGTTGACCTCAAAAGATTTTCTGGATCCTAAATGGTTTTCTTTACATATCATGTCAAAATATCAAAGATTGAAGAGTAGTTTTCAAATAATACCCCAGAAACGATAAAGGGAAGCGATGGGTCCCTAAGCAAAGATGGAGAACGGATGCCCTTCTGGCCCTGGCAAGGAGAGGAGCAGAGGGGAGGGAGCCTGAAGACACCAAGAGAAACTGCAGGTACTGTAAGTGTGACTCAAGAAGGTACAGATAAATTAAATTGTTTCAGGATGCCCAATATGAGATGTGAGCAGACTGAGAGCTGTTAGACTCAGAAACCCCCACTCACCCATCTGGGGAGTGCCCATGAGTTTACTTTTACCCTGTCGCATGCCACCATCTACATTTAGACATGAACTTGTTCAGGCAGACAATGAAAGAGCACATTGACAGAATGTGCATTTATCAAGAGAAGCTGAGTTAATCTGATAAGGAACGTTTTAAACACCACCACCAATCTATACAGGGTAAGGTGAAACTAGTTTTAAATGAACAAAGCCACATTTGCACATTTGAATTGTAAATACAAACCGTGACCATGCCACTCATATCACAACACTGCACTGAATCTTAGTTTCTTGTAAAATCAAAATATTGTCCTGCTGAGAAGGTGCTTAGTATGAGGATAAAATGCTATTGTATAAATAACATACTTTGCAAATTAATGAGCGCTCTGCCAAATCAGCACTTATACCGTGAGCATAGAGAATACGAATTTACGCGGTCTAAATCCAAGCATACAAAAAACTTGATAAGACAAATTTTGAAATGGAATTTAGCTTCTTTCTGGCTCAGGTTTTTAAAAAATATATTTAGTAAAATTAAGCTTTAGAAAGCTGTTCTCTCTTTCATTGGGAAAAGCACAATAGTAAAACATACCACCCCCTTTTATGTACTTACATACTACCACCCATGACTACTATAAAAAGTTATAAAACAAAATCTGAATTATACAAAGGTTGCACTATCCAAAATTCATCACCAGCAAGCAATTCTACATATTGCTGTTTTAAACTCTTATCGAACAGCTTGACTTTGTAATGTCCAATAGTTTGCAACTTGATAAAAATATTAGAATACATTGAGGAACACTTCAAAAATTGAAACAAACAGAACTCATCACAGGTTTAGATTTAATTCCCTTGGTGGAGAATCCTGGCATTGATATGTTGAAATTTCTATGCAGTCAGGGTTGAAAGCTTCTCCAGGGAAGAATGAAGAAAAAAGGCATGATGGCAGTGCACCTGTCTTGACCTTGGATCTGGGCACAGAGATATAAGAATATCTTTTGAGAACCTACAAACACAACTTGATCCTTGTGTGGTTTGGTGAATGCTTTGATTCTAAAGAGATGATTTAGCAAGGCCAGACACACAATTTGCCCTTTTTAAGGAGTTATACCACACACCCAGAAGAGAAGTCTTCAGAGGAAAATTACACCAATTCAACACTCAATCTGATATATAACAAGAAATAAGCAAATAAATGCATAAATAATAAACTCACAATATATGAAAAATATATAATTATATAATTATACACATTTGCTATATATAAATATAAAAATTGAAATTATCCTATATTATTGACTTTTTTCATAAATGATATTTAAACAAAGTGGTATGGTGGTGGTAATTAGTAATAATTACTAATAGGATAATTTAATTACGTATGAGAAAATATAGCAGTATTTTATTTCTGTCCTCTAAAAAAGCAATGCTTTAACCTTAAACTCTTTAATATTTAAAATCTGTAAGCCATACTATTGTATATTCTTAAAATTAATAAAGGCATTTTTTTAAACTTTCATTTTAGGTTCAGGGGTACATGTGCAGGTTTGTTAGATGGGTAAACCGGGTGTCATGGGGTTTGGTGTGCAGATCATTTCCTCACCCAAGTAATAAGCATAGTACCTGATAGATATTTTTTCTTGTCCTCTCCCTCTTCCCACCCTCCACCCTCATGCAGACCCTAGTGTCTGTTGTTCTCCTCTTTGGGTTCATATGTTCTTGTTTAGCTCCCACTTATGAGTGAGATCATGAAGTATTTGGTTTTCTGTTCCTATGTTATTTTGCTTAAGCTAATGGCCTCCAGCTCCAACCATGTTGTTCCAAAGGATATGATCTCATTCTTCATTATGGCTGTGTAGTATTCCATGGTATATATGTATCACATTTTCTTTATCCGGTCTACCATTGATGGGCATTTAGGTTGATTCCGTATCTCTGCTATTGTGAATAGTGCTGCAGTGAACATATGTATGCATGTGTCTCTATGGTGGTATGATTTCTGTTGCTTTGGGTATATACCCAGTAATGAGATTATTGGGTCAAATGGTAGTTCTGCTTTAATTTCTTTGAGGAATTGCCACACTGCCTTCCACAGTGGTTGAACTAATTCACACTTCCACCAGTCGTGTTTAAGGATTCCCTTTTTGATGCATCCTTACCAGTGTCTCTTATTTTTTGACTTTTTAATGGTCCTTCTGACTGGTGTAATATGGTATCTTCCTGTGGTTTTAATTTGCATTAGAAATCACCTTAGTGATAATTAGTGGTGTTGACTTTTTTCATGTGGTTGTTGGCTGCATGTATGTCTTCTTTTCAAAAGTTTCTGTTCCGCAGTGACTCATGCCTGTAATCCCAGCACTTTGAGAGGCCGAGGTGGGGAGATCACCTGATGTCAAGGGTTCGAGACCAGCCTGGCCAACCTGGCAAAACCCTGTCTTTACTAAATGTACAAAAATTAGCTGGGCATGGTGATGGGCACCTGTAATCCCAGCTACTCGAGAGGCTGAGGCAGGAGAATTGCTTGGACCCAGGAGACAGAGGTTGCAGTGAGCCGAGATTGCATTATTGAACTCCAGCCTGGGTGACAAGAGCAAGACTCCATCTCAGGAAAACAAACAAACAAACAAACAAACAAACAAAAAACGCCAGAACGTATCTGGTCATGTTCTTTACTCAGTTTTTAATGGGGTTGTTTTGTGTTTGTAAATTTAAGTTCCTTATATATTCTAGATATTAGACTTTTGTTAGATGTGTAGTTTGCCAAAATATTCTCCCATTCTGTAGGCTGGCTGTTTAGTCTATTGAGAGTTTCTTTGGCTGTGCAGACACTCTTTAGTTCAATTAGATAACAGTTGTCAATTTCTGCTTTTGCTGCAATTGCTTTTGGCATCTTCATCCTGAAATATTTCTATGTCCAGAATGATATTTTACCTGAATTGTCTCCCAGGGTTTGTATAGTTTGGGATTTTACATTTAAGTCTTTAAATCCATCTTGCATTGATTTTTCTACGTGGTGAAAGGAAGGGGTTCAGTTTCAACCTTCTGCATATGTCTAGCGCATTTATCCCAGCACCATTTATTGAACAGAGGGTTCTTTCCCCATTAATGTTTTTCTCAGCTTTGTCAAAGATCAGATAGTTGTAGGTGTTTGGCCTTATTTATGAGCTCTGTATTCTGTTCCATTGATCTATGTGTTTGTTTTTGTACTAGAAGCCCTGTAGTGTAGTTTGGAATCTGGTCATGTGATGCCTCCAGCTTTGTTCTTTTTGCTTAGGATGGCTTTGACTCTGGGCTCATTTTTGGTTCAAGGTGAATTTTATATAGTTTTTTTCTATTTCTGTGAAAAATGCCATTGGCAGTTTGATAGGAATAACATTGAATCTGTAAATTGCCTTGGGCAGTATGGTCATTTTAACAATATTGACTCTTCCTATCCATGAGCATCAAATGCTTTTCCTTTTGTTTGTGTCATCTCTGATTTCCTTGAGCTGTGTTTTCTAGTTCTCATTGCAGAGATCTTTCACCTCCCTGGTTAGCTGTATTCCTGGTATTTGATTCTTTTTGTGCCAATTTGAATGAGATTGTGACCCTTATTTGGCTCTTGGCTTGGATGTTGTTGGTTTATAGGAATGCTACTGATTTTTTATACATTGATTTTTCATTCGTAAACTTTCCTGAAGTTGTTTATCAGCTGAAGGAGTTTTTGGGCCAGACTATGAAGTTTTCTAGATATAGAATTATGTCATCTGCAAAAAGGGCTAGTTTGATTTTCTCTTCCTGTTTGGATGTCTGTTATTTATCTTGTCTAATTGCATTGGCCAGGACTTCCAATACTGTGTTGACTAAGAATGGTAAGACAGGGCATCTTTGTCTTGTGCCAGTTTTCAAGGGGAAATGTTCCAGCTTTTGCCCATTCAGTATGATGTTGGCTGTGGGTTTGTCATAGATGGCTTTTATTCTGAAGTATGTTCCTTCAATGCCTAATTTATTGAAGGTTTTTAACATGAAGCGATTTTGAATTTTATTGAAAGCCTTTTCTGCGTCTATTGAGAAAATTATGTGTTTGTTTTTAGTTCTGTTTATGTGATGAATCACATCATAGATGTATGTATTTTTAAGTGGAGAGTATAAATAGAATTGAGTATTTATACAATTAATAACAAAGTAACAATGACATTGATTTCTGTTCCATAATGTGGTAGAAAGTTTACTGTTTTGGTTTCCTTTTGCCATAACTTAGGGTATCCTCCTTTTCCTTTATGTAAAAGTCAAATTAAATACAGACAAAGCTAAATGAAAGCTTGACTTGCAGCTTTTCTCTTACCAAGTTCACATTATACTGATTCTTGGTGTTGGTCCAATACAGAAAAATCAAGCTAAATATCATCCCAGCAAAACCATTTTAACTTTTGGAACATGTAGGAATTTATTTGTAGGAAAAGCAGATTTTTGACTTGGAGGAATTATTTTCCAGCTCTACAAAAATGTTCATTCACTTTGTATCTACAGGCTTGTTTTGGTGGAACAGCTGTTTGTCATTCAGAATCTGCATCTATAAATCCATCATAAAGACTATCCAAATTTAAAACATCCATTGTTTGTAAACACTTCAAAACATATTGGATGTCATCAAAATAAAACCCCTCTTTCTCTGGGAAAATGGTTTTAAAGCAAGATTTAATCTGTATTAATGAAATTGAAGTTGGTTTCCAAATATTTTGTTTAAAAAACTAGAATTTCCTGTTTAATTTGGCTGCCCTTTACGTGTATTTTTGAGTTCTGATGCAGTCTTATTTATGCCAAAAATAAATCACTTTTTCATTGGATGAGTTTTTGTTGCAACCTACAGATGGCATTGAGCAACCCTAGGGGAGTGAGTTCATCCTTTCCTAGACAACTTATGGTATTTTCTAAGATCATTAAACAGTTTTGGAAAAACAGCATATACATTTCTGATTTTCTTTCATTTCTTTTTCCATCATCATCTTCAATGTATTATTAAATTAGAGAAAAATATTCTTTTTCCCCTGAATTTTGAATAT